AGCTCCTGAATTTGGACTTCCCGGGAAGTCACCCAACCCTATATTTAAACCCTAACGGATCATCTCTCAAGTCGTTCTCTTTGGTTGCTTCCACCCAAATCCACTTCTTAGCATCCTTAGGATGCATGCAGACATGGGGTACAACCTTCCCCAATATCCCTTTTACAATCCCTACCAAGTCTTTTTTTATCCATGGCCGTGTTCGCCAATACTGCCTCTAAATCAAAGCCCACAGGCTTGACCATTAAGTCCCACTATCCTTTGGGACTTCCTCACCGTGTGACTGTATCCTTGGTCACCACACCAGAGGACTGCTCCTCTTCCTTTCCATAGTCCGGGACTTAGGGACAACATTTCAGAACACTATGGCCCTACGTGGGCCTTATAGGTACTCTCCCTGCCTTCTGCGTTTGGGTGCTTTAGCCATGGGCTTAGAGCGAGGTTCCGTTGAGCCATACCAGGTATCCAAGTAGGTAGTGCCACCCACACTTAAACTGGGAGCATCGACCGTTTGATCTCCTGGGGGAACTAAAGTCGGTTCTTGAACACTTCACCAAGCTACCCCACGGTATTCACTTTAGCCTTGGACGTCCCAGTGGTCATCTCATCACCTAATAGTTGGGTATGGCCTTCCTGGGCCAAACTGGCCTTTCCTAGCCAAACCACCACTCCATCTTGGACACTTCCACGTGTCATGTGTTAGTCCTCTTGTGTCCCTTTTCTAGAGACTCACTTATTGCTCGTTTCGTGCTTGTTCCTCAAACACTTCGTTGGGAGTTTCAGTCCCGCTCTTGACTTTTCAAGTCAGAGCTTTTAGTCCAAACGTGTTACGCTCATTTGGCTTTCGCTTTGGCCACTATCACGTGACACCCTTTCGGCTCCACTTTGGGGTTTAGGGATTTATATCTTACACCAACTAGTTATGAATAAGTGACGGGCTTGTTAGTTGGCCTTCCTTGCTAATTTTCATTTTAAGATCATTCATATTTCTGGTAATAAAAATTTAGTGGCTGATCCACTAAGTCAGATACATTAATGCTATTTTAGTGGTTCTCACTAATTTTGTAGCGTCTTTTCCATATAAGTATATGACTGATTCTAGAGCTATTTATGAGAGTTTATGAGAGTTATTTATGAGAGTTATTTATGAGAGTTTTAAGCATGAGCTACATTTAGAGACTAAAATCTCTTTGTATAAGAATTATTCTCTTTATGAGAATTTTCTTTATTTCCATGATCTCCTTCATCTAAGGACATTTGAACTATGCTTTTACGTAAAGCTCATAAGAAGCCATATGTTGCTCACTATAGTTTTCAATATGAAAGCTAATGTAAAAAACCAAAAAGAATAACTTGAAAAACAATCCATGGGTTCAAATATAATAGGAAAAATCCTATAAATAAAAGTGCACCCCCTTTCCAATCGATTAAAGGTCTTGGGATACTTGGGGTTAAGCATCCTTGAATAATATTAAGTTGGGTGACCTCCTTGGAAAGTCCAAATTAAGGAGCTTATATTTAGTATCAGAGAGAGTCTTGAGTCTGACTCTATTGGTTGACTAAGGGAATCACATTATATATTGATTGATATTTAGTAAGTTTAGTTTGTTTCGACTGGGTTCAACCCAAAGGGTAAGGTGTCAAAGGAGTGGGGCTCTTAAAAGAGTTATGGCTTTCAACTTTCATTCACAAAAGCATGAACTTACAAGTGTGGTAGATTGTAAACAACCAAAGAGAATGACTTGGAAAATGATCCATGAAATTTATATATAGAGGAAAAAGGCTCATGAATAAGAGTGAATCAGTTAAGGGTTTTAGGATACTTATAGGGTTAAGTGTCTTTGGGTTTGAATAGTACTGGGTTGGGTGACTTCTCAAAAATTTCAAATTAAAGAGCTTACAGTTAATATCCTTGAGTATTGTAAACTATATAAGCTTTGTTAGCAAGTAAAAGTGCTATGGGAGAAGCCAAAGGGTCTTTTGCAACTTTTACTTGTTCTTATATCTATTGGTGTAATATCTTTATAGACTTTATCATTATAGTCAAAAGGAGCAAACAAGAAGCTCAAGGGTATATTAAGGCATGTTAGGGTAAGGAACTTAACTTAAAGCTCATAATAGAGTGGCACTATAGTGGAGTTTTTGAGGTAGTTTGGGGGTGACTAAGTGCTAAATAACCTCAAGAGGAGGTGTAATATAGTCTAGAGAGACTAGATATTTGTCTTTTAGTGCCAAATCTTAATATTGGTATCAAAGGACAATGAGGATATTGTCATTTGTTAAATCAAGAATGTAAGGTCTAGAATATTCCATTTATGTCTTTGCCTTTTTGGCCAAAATGGCCCTACAAATCATCAATGAACAAGATACTAGGATAGGAAAAAACAACTTGGCTACTTACAATATAGCCCTAGGCACAAAGGCTGAAAAGGTAGTGATGGATAGGATTCCATATAAAAAGGTGGTAGGTAGCTTAGTCTACCTCATAATTTTTTTTAGGCCAAATATACCTACGCAGTAGGAGTTGTCTCATAGTTCCTGGCAAATCCTAGCTTTCCACACTAGCAAGCAATCAAGCAGGTGTCTTGTTATGTAAAGGGAACAATAGATTATGTTTGTGTTACACAAAACAAGAGTGTAGCCTCAACTCAAGCTGCAAGGATACTTAGATGCAAACTAGGCATGAGAAGGTGATAAGAGAAAACCAACTTTTGGCTATGTCTTTAGCTTGGGCAGTGCAGTAGTTATGTAGAGTAGTGAGCAGCAGCCAATTGTGGCACTTTCAAGCACAAAGGCAAAGTATGTTAGGATGATATAAACAGCCAAGGAGATTCTTTGACTTAAGACTTTGCTACAAGCAAGGAGAGGCAATAATCCTTCATTGTAAGAGCCATTGCATCAATGAAAAATCTATGGTTTCATCATATGACAAAGCATATCCAAGTTTGGTTTCATTTTATTTATTAATAGGTGGCAAATGAGAAAGTGGAACTTTTTTGCTATGTCACAGCAGAAATAGTGCTAGACATATTCATTGTTGGTCCTGACCGCATTTATGCCCTAAAATGCAAACTATTGCAATGATTGGATTTTAGCAATTCTAGCACAGTTGAGCAAAGTTTAAAGGTTTAACTATTGTGGAAAAATGTATGGAAATCCATCAAAATATTTTGCTAAAATTTCTAGCCATAACATTGAAGTATTTCAAACATGCCCATTTGGCATCAATCAAAAAAAAAATTGTCAACTGATCAACCATTCAGCACTTTCATAGCTGCTTGATAACCACGGTAGACTGATCACCTGGTTGCCATTCGGAATGATCAAGACCAACATTGGACATATTCATGAATGCACTTCCACTAACAATATTTGGGAGACATACACAAGCTCTTTGCATGTAAAAGGCAAGTATCACAATTGTGGGAATGTTCCAGCTTACCTCATGCCAACTTGACCATCATGATTCTTTGATGTTAGCTGTGTCTCTTCCTTTTCTTATCTTCATCAATAAGAGTTTGGTAGTGCTCAAATGTAACAGCTGGTATTCCAAAATCCTAGCTTTGCCTTTTTTTTTTCTTTGCAATTGCAGCCAAGAGTAGAGAGGAAGCAATCAAGATCTCAGTGAATGACATAGAGCTAGACAGGAAAAATAGGTTTCTTTCTCTCAAGAGAGTCACAGTCAAGGGGTACAATGTCTTAGAGCATGCCTCTGGGATGTCACATAATTATGTTTGTGATATGTAGCTCAAAATACCACTGACAACTCCTCCCAGACTAGGAATGCCACTGTCACCACATTTCTCTAGTAAGAGATTGTGGTGGCACAAATACTACCCATCAGATTGAGTATGTGGCCTTCTCTATGCTACAATGTAGTGCCTTTACATTTTTCCTATGCCTATGAAGAAACATTTTATGACTTTTGCATGTCATTCAGATGTTCAGAGGTTGTTCATTCTCGATTGTTGCCACTGCATGCATATGCTAGCCCAGCCTCAACATGTGAGGACACTCTAGGGGAAGGTGCATTGGCAACTAAGGGGCGGTGGATGTACAAAGAGCCGAGCTCCACAGTCCACAACAATAGGCATTTGCTGTAAGTTTGCTGCTCCATGTCCACTTGGAATGCATTCTAGTGTTTCTCTTGACATTGTAGTGGAGGCCTAGAGCTTATCCTATGATTTGGTGTAAGAAAATAGGGGCAAATGTCTACAGTTTATATAGTGCTAGCAAATGTCTTTGTGCTTTGGCTTTTGTGTGCCCTCCCCCTCACCCCTTCCCTTGGGTGCTGGGAGCTAGGGTCTTCGACCAGATGCCAGTTCACAGCTCGGTGTCATGGAACTCTCTCATCCTCAGCTACATGGACAACGGCCAGGAGACAGCTGCCTACAAGGTCTTCGTAAGGATGATCAAGTTGCAGTATGGCTCCAGGCCCGACTACCAGACTCTAGTAGCAGTTCTCAAAGCTTGCGGCAATGTGGCAGACTTGCAAGCCGGGAAGGCCGTCCACACTAGCACTTGCAAGGCCGGGCTCGACTCGGAGGCTCTTGTCTCGTCGCAACAGATTTCCATGTCAAGTGTGGCAGCATGGACGCTGCTCGTCGTGTCTTAAACTCGGCAGAGGAGAGAGCCATGGACTCGTGACAAGGACTCGGTGGCATGGACGGCACTCATAGTAGGATATTGGAGATGTAAGCTGGCGCTGGAGCTCTCGCCATCTCGAGCTTGTGGCCGGGCTGGACTGAGAGGTCTTCCAGGGAATGGCAGCGGTAAGTTCTATCCTGAGCACTACCACTGCATGGTTGATCGCGCAAACCAGCTAGAGGAGGCGATGCTATCCGCGGAAGCCATGCCTTTCAAGGCCAGTATTGAGACTTGGACGTGCTTGTTCGCCACGTGTTGCAAGTGGAAGAATGTGCAGTGCTTGCATTTGAGAGAATGATGGCTTTGGATCTAGGGCTGGCATTCTCTTTTACCAGAGCTGATGGCAAAAGGTATTGTATAGTAAGTTTTTCACACTAATGAGTTAAGTTCTTAACATTGGAAACATTTTGCAAACAGTCCAAATTTTTCCACTTTGTGCATTAGATTGTGCATGCTTGCCCAGGAACCGAAGCGCCTATGATTCCAACCCAAAGAACCAATCCAAGATTGATGCAGTAAACACCCACCCAGCTCTTGATCCAAAAGGGTGGCTGCTCTACCGCATTCTGAAATAAAAATGTTGTGATATGGAAAATAGTTGAAAGAAAAGTGTGGCCTATACCTCTCTTGATTCTTTGTGCCTCCTTATGACCATGAAAGCAAGGCAGGGGAGAATGTAGACACCAATGCTGGAGATGATAGCGCCCACCACTGAGTTGATGGAACCAAAGAATGGGAGCATAATAGCTAGAAAACAAATGCCCAACACAATTGGCATTCTGGCTATACATTTTAAGATGTAGTTTTGGGAGCAGTGGATGCCTAGTAATTTCTCCCACATTGCAAATACTGGAACCACAAATGCAGCAAACTCAATAAACTGCAGAAAAAATTAAAAATTAAACGTTGAAATTATCATTGAGAGTTTAAGTCCACCTGATGGGTAAGCATAAGGATGATAGCTACATTTCTGAACTTGGATGGGGAGAGCACTGCTAGGGCATTTGGATAATTCAGCATCTGATCACCAAATCTCCAATACACACTCACTGCTGATGGGAGTGTAAGTGTGAAGATATAAAGGATTGCATACACATTAGTTATCTTATACTTCCTTGGTTTATCCATAGCTTCAACAATTTCTCTGAAAGCTGACGTTAATAGCAGTAAAGCAGATCATATTTTAACTTACAGTGTCAAAGCATGATTACCAAATGTATAAATATTATTTGTAGCACCTGTAAAATACTGGATTTTACTTACTGGACCTGAGTGTTGCACATGCTTATCATGCTGTGAAAGTTACTAAATTTAAAATATTGATAAAGCTAGGACATACCTTTTCAAAAAATATAGATGCAATGGTGAAATACCAAGCTGTATAGGTTGTCATGAATATGCCAATAAACACCCAAAGTCTATAATTCCTTGCTGTGGGAATAAGTACAGTGAGAAAACATAAAGCTCCAAATATATATGTCCAAGTCCTTTTGTCAAGGCTATTATTCATGTACCAGATTGTGCTGTCCACCAAAATTTTAGAGATTTTTGTTTTCTATATGTAACTTACTTTGCACAAGCTATAAGTTGAATTGTTGCACTGCTCACCATCAATGCACAATTGAATAACAATCCAGATGCTCTCCACCATCGACCCAAATGACCATCTAATACTTCATACCACTATCATCAATTTTTTTTATTTTTTTTTCAGGCGACACCAGAAGAAGTTTTTAGTTTTGTTACCTGAATTATGTGATTCTTCCTACGAGCGTTGTGCCTTTCAAGAATTGCCACATAATCCATATACAGGCACATAGTTATATAGCAGCTCCAACAACCAAGAGCACCATATAGAAGTTGAAATCCTATTCCGGATGTAATTCCCATTTGTGCAAGAGTGTGTGGAAGAGTGAGGAGAACTTGTGCTACCTGCAAGGTAAATTTCTCCATAGATTTCGAATATAATTCTAGAGAAGGCTACCTGTGCTGTGGTTGTAGTGAGCCATGCATCAAATGAAGAACCTCCTACAAGGAAAGCTCCAGTAATTTTCTCTTGGATGCTTCTTCCAGCTGTGAAATTGTTACTCTCTTCGACATTTGTAATTTGCATTTCAATTCCTACTGTAGACTCATCCTTGCAGAAGGATTCCATGATTTGCGAACAGAAGCGCAACCTATAGTGATCTTTTGAAGGTCCAAGTCTCAAGAAAGACAAATTAAAAGTCCTGCGAAAAAGCAAGTCCTGTGGAAATGAAAGTGACCTGAGTAACTAAAAGGAAGTTTCTTTGGACCCATTTGGAGAAGCCTAGTCGAGTCTTCCGAAACTTTAGGGTTTCTATCTTAGCAGTGGCGTATGCCCCGGACGATTTGCTGTCTACGATCAAATCCATGATCTTGAGTGTTATGGTCAAGAAAGAGGCTGGAAGTGGATTACTGCACACCATTCACGTCGGAAGTCTTTCGACCTTGGATTCAAGGCCACTTTAGGTGCCTTTCGCATTGGTGATTGGGTGAACGCTTGATGAAAGGAGCCATATTCCACTATAAGAGCGAGAACGGCGGCTTACGGAATTCAAGAACAAATGACAAGGTGACAAAGAAATAGAAACCTCTGACAGAGCGCCACAAGTTCCAATATGAAAACGACATGTCCATCACCAACAGCAGGCTGGATCACGAGATATAAATATAAGAGGAAACGACTGTTTGGTTCACATGATCGATCGAGCTGCTATTTTTTCATCACTACTAACTGCGAGTTTCCACAAGAAGTGCTCGACCTTTAAGAAGCCGGGACTTTCAAAACAAATGTAAAATAATTTTGCTTTTGACTCTGCTTTGTTGGAAGAATATTTTTTCATAGAAGTCTCTAGAGGAAGCCCGGTTTGTTGACAAGTGGTGATATTGAACGTGTGCCATGAGCACTTAATGCATGTTATACGCAAGTCCCCCCACGCTATAAGAAGTGATGCTCGTCCAACGAAAGTTGTAGCAAGCAGGTAGAGCGAGTGAAAGTTTCTAGAGATTGTCAGTAGAGTTGTGTGAGCTTTGAGAATCTGGTTCTTGAATCTGATGGAGTTTGTGGATGAATCTGAAGAGGAGTTCGAGGAGTTCTGGGAGGAGGACTGGCCAGAGTTCCATCGGGGAAGACGAGGAGGCGGGGGTCGGCGAGGAGGAGAGCAACCTCGCCGTGGCAAGCAGCAGCACATTGGAAGATGGATTCGTGTCGATTGGATCGAAACGGCTGATCATCACATCCTCCAGATCGATCTGCCTGGTGAGGGAGTTCTTTCTTTCCTCTCTTAAAACCTTGAGGAATGCAGGATCCTCCGGGATCCTCTAAATATTTCAAAGTGAATCTGTTGTGAACCAGGTGTGAAGAAAGATCGACTCCATTTGAAGGTCGAAGGCAACAGGATGCTGGTGATCTGTGGGGAGAAGCACCGGGACAAGCCTGATAAGGAGAAAGGCGAGAAGGCGAGATTCTATGAGCGATTCGGAGGCGAGTTTTCAAGATCCTTTCGGATGCCCAAGGATGCAAAGATAGACGAGATTACGGCCACCATGGAAGATGGTGTACTCACTGTCACAATCGCCAAGATCAAATCTGCTGAACAGAAGCCCGATGTGAAGAACATCAACATCCAGTTTGCTCAGCAGGCTGGTGGAACTCATTTGCCAGGTCAAGGTTTAAACTCTACTTATACTGTAATTTTATTGAATTTAGATGCAGGTACTCAGCAGCAGCAATCTGCTGCTACAGCTGCCACTTAAGAAAGTGAAAACGTCCATGGCCACATAAACAAACCTATATAGATTTTGAATAAAATATTCTGGCAGAGTTTTACTTGGAGTCGTGGCTAGTAATTTTCACTTCGGATGCTTCTTGCAACATTCCAATTGAGTCATCCTTGCAGAGTCAATTTGCAAACAGACCTAGTGTTCTTGTCCTATAATATAGAAAGTCTTGAGTAGCTAGAAGTTTCTGTATGGAATGGAAATTGTTCAGCTTGAAAATTGGCATCCAGAATTGTAATTTCGAGAAGCTGTTTTGGATTGCAGTTAAACAGAATGCTAGTCCAAAATTTTTCAAAACTCATACACTACGATTTGCTGAGGATCAAGATGTTTATCCAAGTGTTATGTGGATTACCACCTACTCAGGTTTGTTTCAAGGTGGCGGCGGTTCTCTTGTCCATGGTTGAGGCCATACATGACATGGCTCCTCTTATCAAGCGCGGTTTTGGTATTTCACCTGATTACCAGGGCTTTCCCGTGAGGCTCAGAGAATTCAAGGTGACGAAATGAGAAACTGAACAAATCGTGGGGAAAATCTTTTTCTTTCGTGCTCTAGGCTACAAAAAGCGTTCGATTTCCATCTCAATGTAAGAACAAGGATCCGGAATGTCGAAGTTCTTGAGCACCTGCAGAGCGGAGCTTAAGAGAGACCACATGACGAGGTTACGTACCTGAGGATGGATAATTCCAAAGGATCCAACGCAGGAGCCTTTGTAGAAAATCTTGGCTTGACGACCCTTGAAAAGCTCCGGTTCCTGCAGCGAAACGAGCTTAGTATTACATTACAAACGATAAGAACTTTTCCTTACATTGGATGGCCCCACGGTGTAGCCGTCGACTGGAACATTGAGAACGTTCATGATTCTATCCAGGAGGCCGTGTATGATCTGCAAGGCAGGCTTGGTCATTCCATTTGTTCTACAGACAACATTAGCTTACTTCGAAGCCAGACGTGGTGCTGCAGTACAAAGCAGCCAGATGACGGGAATTTGCAGCTCCTACATCCTTACTGGGATCCAGGAGAACTACGTCAGAGATCTCGAAAACCTGCATAAAGATAGGACGAATTTAGAGAAAAACCGATGCGATGGATCAAAGCGGGGCAAGCAAGCGCGGGGAGACGAAGAAAAGTTCGAAGAGATGATAGTATCTTGATCAATACCTTCACTGGACGAGGAACATCTTTGCTGTGTTCCATGACTTTTAGAATACCAGGCAGAAGACTCGTCCGCAGAACCTGAAAAGCCAGAGAATTAACGAAACAGTGAAACAAAGGGCTCTTTATACCCACCTCAAAGTCGCTGCTTCGAGGATTGCTAACTATTGCAGCAATCTTGTCGTCATCCTTCCTGTTCAACAACGTAAAGTTTTCCTTCTTGGACACTAGGACCCAGTTAAGGACTTCGCTGAACCCGGCCATTGCCAGCTGCGAAACAAGGCCACAAATTGAGTTGCTTTCGATTTCTCAAGTCGACCAAAATACCTCAAGTCTTAGCAAGTCACTGAACTCGTTAAGGGGTTGCTGCCTCCCTTCAGTGCTGGTTTTTGGTCTAGTCTTTGGAATGTTGTTAAAGCCATACGCAACAGCAACGTCCTATAGCCGAAAGATTGAGCTTTGAGACGGATGAAACAAAGACAGTACCTCCATTACATCGCAAGGATGCAGAATATCACTTCTTGTTGGCGGTATAGACACTTGGATTTTGTCCCCATCTATCTCCTTAGACGTCAATTGCATTTTGCTCAGCAGATCCACAATCTGGAAGAGTCAAAACGTTTTATAGTAAAGGACGCAGATTAAGGAAAGAAGATACATTACCTCTCCAGCTTGAAGTGGTACTCCAACGGATTTCTTAATGTATGATAAATCTACGTCCATGGTGCGCAAGGAAAGATCAGGATATCTCGTGACTCTTCCAACTGGATCCACCACATCGACCGGTTCAACTTCGAATTTCTCATCGCAGTACCCGGAAAACATTGCAACCTGCTGGCAAATCTCAGTAACTCCAAGTTGTAAAAGCAGCACTTACCATCGTGTTTAATACGATTTTAGCCTTGGTTAAATCCGTGGCGGTACATTCTATGAGAACGTTCTTGGTGTTCAAGCTGATAGCCGAATGGGCACCGTTTATAATCGGCGGCAGCGAAAGAACTGTCCTGGTGATTAATAACGAAAAGAAAAGAACGAACGAAAGATGAGAGTTAATGAACGATGAGTTGAGTTTTACCTGTTGCTGTCGTATATCACAGGGAAGACCGGCGAGTCCTCTATAATGTGGAGAAATTTCTTTAGCTTCAAATCCGACTGTTAAGACCACAGTGTTAGAAAAGCTGATTCGCAAACACATTGTAGACACACGGCTACCTTGTAAAACTCCATCAATTCTTTTGCTGTAAACTCTTGTGCCTGCCACCAAAAAAGCAAGACAAAGTTACGCCCCATGAATTGAATTCGGTACCTGCTTTAATGGGATGAACTTTATTTCTGATGGAGGAAGAGCCTGCAAAGTGAATGAATATTTAGAAGTAAGAATAAAGGTTTCCAACAGTTTTAAAAACGAACGAACTTCGTAAGTGAAAGGTCCCTGTAGTGTGTCCAGATCATGAGTTCCAATTGCAACCAAGGTTCTCTTCCTTAAAAATAATATCGAGTGGAACATATGCTTCACGTTTACGAAAATTACCTGCAAATATTTTGATGGAGTCTGTCTTGGAGGTCGATGAAACTGGCGTAGCGTGCTTGATCGAAAGTGATACCCCTGAGAATGGCGCAAACTACAAACGGCCTGATCACTGCAGTCTAAACAACCAGGAAGAAAACTTCAACAAAAGACCAAATAAAATTAATACTACCTCTGGTTTCACGATCATCTTCAGGATTGAGGAGTCGGGAAGTCTCGAAAGTCTGTAAGTTGGCATTTTCTCGACCCGCAAGAAGATTCGCAATTGCCGACAAATCCCCTCCGGACAAAGGAGATCATATCTGGAAACAAAGAAAAAGCTTCAATACAGAAGGAAGAAAGATTTTCCAGAACAAATGCAGGAGAGTTTCCATACCGGTTTGCAGGAACCTCGATCTTGTAGATAACCTCTTCGTCCTCGTCCGCTTCATTCTCCTGCAAATGCTTCTCTTTCCTGATTATAGCTTTCTCTGTCGTCTGGAAAAAGGCCAGAGTCATCAAGCAGCGGCAATGTAGCGAATTTCACACTCACCACATCGTCCAGCTCGATTCCAATCACGAAGCACAGCTCGTCGAATTCCTCTTGCGCTGCCAGGCGAACATCAGAGCGCTGATGCGCACATCAGAATTTTCTTACTGTAAACCCTCCCCAGCATCGTATGGAGCAACTCCCTGGCGACGCTCACCGTCGGCATTGCCTCAAAGAGGTTTAGGGCTGAAAAGAATATGCTTGAAGGCTCCTCACCGCTGATGGTTTGTTCCAATCTAACGGCTCATCTGCAACCATGAAAGTTTACTAGTTTGTTGTTTTGGCTCGGGTTGTGACAATAAGGCTCCATCGCAGTGATTGGGTTAACGAGACGCTTGGGGCAAGGTGTGTATTTGTGCTCTAATCGGCTGAGCTTTTTTCTTTTGGTTGTTGTTTTCCATCCCTCTCTAAGATAAGGTTTTCATTCAGGGACGATTCAAACGAGCAGAGAAATTACGGATGTGTGCGAGTGAGAGCGAGTGGTAGTCTCGACTGCTACCAAGATGGAGACGTCAGCTTGTAAAACTCTGTTCTTCACAACTCTTTGATTGTATTGATAGATTGCAAGGAAAAACCCGCTCTGTAGCCATAGCGCCATGGCTGTTGCGGGCTTCAAGCCTTGAGCAATACAAGTTAAATTTCTTGTAGAGGTGCTCTTAGTTCACAAACGCAGTGTTTTGCAAAAAAATCCACTAATCTAATGCAGCAGTAGAGGTTACAGCTGCAAAGAGGGTGGCGATGGATCTGTTGGACACGCTCCAGCTGCGCATGGCAGGTTTCTTTCATTGAGCTTTGTATTCATGCCCGTCACATATGAACTGAATTCAGCTTGAAGCAAACAACATCCACTAAGTTTCACAGCATTCTAACAAAAGCATTTGATTGCATCGAATATTGCTTGGTCCTGAGAAGGGTCTAGCAGTTTTCTGTTAGTCCACAAAGCAGTTTAGTATTACGATTAAGAAGATTAGTCATGGCAATGGCATCAACTAATGAGTTATAGCAGCAGCTAGCTTTCCTGTGAGTGGTGCACCACTAAGCACTCTTCGAGCAGTGGCAAGAAAGGTAGCAATTTCTTTTGATCACTATTGCAAAGGGTTTTCAGTGGATGTGTGGAAGGAAGTCCTAAAACTCTTTCTCTTTTAGTTTTGAGCATTTTGCTTTTCTAGATTACACAGTTCTTGGATCAAGAGAGCAATATTTGCTGTGAAATTGTGGCAAATATTAGGAAAGTGTGTGAAAAGATCAAAGGTGTCCACAGTGACAATCAACTTGTGGCAAAGTGAGTTATATTAGCTGTTGTATTGGGCAAGAGAAAAGTGAACGACTCAACACCTTTTGCAACAATTTCCTTTACTACAAGAGCTCATTGGTGAGAAGTTGTGGAGAACAAGAGATTGTGGACTCTAGGAGGTAGAAATAAGTATCTAGTGGAGTTAATGAGATAAAGCAAGTGATGGCTGATTTTTAATCAAGTACATCTCACTTTTCTTTGTTGAGTTCTAAGTCTTCAGTGGTCAGACTTGAACTAGTCTAGTTTGCATTTGTTTATAAACTAATTTTATGTAGGCTGCATTTTATGCATTGGAAATTTGTAATAGTATATATTTTATAGATTTGAATCTGATTGAAATCTATGGTCAAAGTGGTTTTGTCATGGTTCTTAAGTAGTATACTTTATATATGATTGAATTCAACGATTGAAGTGGTTCTATCAAAATTCATAAGTAGTGTGCATTTTTTTCAGAAGTTTCTGATTGAATTTAGTGGTTAAAATGTTCTAAGTAGTATGCATTTTCTACACTGATATCTGATTTAATTCTATGGTTGAAGTGGTTCCTA